GAAGTTCGCAGATGATGACAAGAAGCTAAAGGAGCGCGTCGAGTCGAGAAACGAGCTGGAGAGCTATGCTTACTCGATCAAGAACCAGCTCCAGGATAAGGAGAAACTTGGCGCTAAGGTTGGTACTTTTTTTATTAAATAAAAAAATAATTTCGATCTTTGAAAAAATCTTCTAACATAGTATTTAAAGTGTATTTCACTATTATTTAGAAGTATTGATTATTTTATGACTTAAATGCTAAATTTCTGTTTCCATTGTTACAGGTCAGTGATGACGACAAAGCGAAGATGGAGGAAGCCATCGACGCTGCGATCAAATGGCTAGAAGACAACCAGGACACAGACGCGGAAGAGTACAAGAAACAGAAGAAGAGCCTAGAAGATGTAGTGCAGCCCATCATCGCCAAGCTGTACCAGGGTCAAGGCGGAGTGCCGCCGCCGGGCGCGGGCGGGGAGGACGAGGACTTCAAGGACGAGTTGTAAACTAATAGGATATAACAAGTGATCATAACCAAATGTGATCTCCGCTCAGTACAGATTGTACACGCGCTATTGCCGTGTCGCTTCGAAATATAAACTTAGCATTAAGTGGTAATCTTACAGCTTACATTAAGCTATTAAATCTTATAGCTTATTAGTTCGTGTATAATCTGTATCGACGCACAGATGCTGTGTGTAGATCGTTTTGTGTATATTTATTGTTGTGCGTGTTGTTTGTGTGCGTGCGGCGGACTCGAAGTCGATCTCTCTAGGGCCGGCCGCCGCGCGACGAGCGTCAGGTTGTATGAATGTGTCGTGGCTGTATAAAATGTTGCATTTTTATTTTTAGTGTAATTCCAATAGTGTGAGATGTTTTTTTCTCAATGGGTCCCGTCTGTTTGCACAACCCTATGTATGTCTGCTAGTTCTCGGCGACCTACCTCTGTGTTCTATACTGTATAATTGTTTTGAGACTGCTGAATAAATTGTTAGCTCGTAATTAATTATGTAGTAATTTAAATAATTTTCAATGAAGTACGGAGGAGTACATAAATAAAAAGATTTTTTAATAAGATAAAGCTTGGTTTTTATTTAAACCCAATTAATAAATATTTGGAGGTTAATCGCCGCGCACATTGTTGGTCAACTGCGATCCAAACTCCATGTTGAAGGCTGGCGACGCCATGATCGCTGCCTGGATTTCTACCTGCACTTGATCTATAAAAATGTAATATACAACTAAGGACCAATCGGTTATAGAGAATGATACACAGCCGAGAAATGTTGGTATCATTTTTTTTTCATTTCGCATGGGAATCGACCAGAAAACTCATCTAACGGTAACATAAAATAATCAATCATGTTGTTAGTATTCTATTAGAAGCGATAAGTGTTATGTCAATATGGTTTGCCGCTCAGTTTCTAGTCGAGATATTCAGGTCGTTGACCGAACGAGTTATACGCTTATAACGAAGCAATTCTTATCTATTCTTCCTCAGCGTTTCGGAAATTACATTGTCTATATGTATTAACTATTAGTATTCAATTTACTGTGCCATAATACATAAAGTGGTTTAGTCACTAAACACTATGGAGATGAGTACCAGCTTTAGGGTGTGGCGACCGTCCAGGACTCTTATATAAAAGGGCGTAAAAAAGACCCCACGGGTGTCTTTTCGTATGGGTTTGTGTTAAAGACGGTGTGTCGTAAAAATATCGCCCAGGGCCCCAGTAATGCTAAAACCAGCCCTGATGAGGATGGCTGTTTATGAATTCGTCGCAAGTTAATGACACAAAAAGTACTGACACTTGTGAATACATAAACATATTTGGCAAGTTTCGATAACCATCTTTGTTATACAGTTATTTACCGATTGGTTTAGATGCGTCCACTTCTTCAGCGTTAATACCAGCAGCTGCGCGCAGTTCTGCCAACGTCTCCGTAAAATACGTGTCCAACTGAAAAATATTGCATAAAGCAGATGCCTGTAAAGTTCAAACCCAATCGTTTCTAACTTGTGATATCCTTGGCACAGTTAACACAATGTAATATGTTCCATAATATTACAATAATTAGAAATAATAATAATCAATTCAAATTTAAACAGAGTTATGGGTTTTGAACTCCATGAGGCAGAGTATAGCAACTGAACAAACACTATTCTAAGCATTTACTTTTTAATTCCCGTTACATCCGCGCGCACCGTACCTAAACGGAAGACATTCAAGAACAATAGATTGTTGGACAAATTTTTTATAGGTTTTGAGGTTAGTATGGCACGAGTATGGAATTCTTATATCGAAATCGTGCGTTGTTACCGTTTTTGCCGTTAACATTTCGATATAAATTTAATATTCGCTACACTGTATTCTCATATGAGTTATTAACATATTTTTATTATCACCATCACCTTCTACTCATTTAAAATCTAGTGTCGTCTTTAACTATGACATTTTTCTATTAAGATTGGTTTTAGTTTGGCTTAATTGGTACCAACAGTTCATAGTTTGAAGCATAGGCTGTGTACCTCTGCGTCAAGCGCGGCCTCATCGTCTTCAGGGTGGACGAGCACGCGCGGACCGGAGCCGAGCGGCGCGGGCTGGCCGCTGCACCAGTCCACGCCGCGCGACAACACGCGCGTCTTGCACGTCTGCCATTCCGCGTTCAGGAATATTATCCTAACACAAAATGGTATTTACGTACTGTCGAACTCAAAGTCGTAATGATTACTCGTCCACTTCCTTAGTTTAGGGTATATTTTAAATACAAGTTCTACATTGCACAGATTTTGGCATAGTTTTAGACGTTTTAACTTTAACTAGACCAATATAATTTATAGTAACGAGAGTTTCGAACAATTACACGAAACGCCTTTCACTTAGAAAGTATATCCCAGTTCTGAAAGTTGTGCCAGCTTCACAGTCTGTAGCCCTAGGTCCGATCACTTTCTATATATTGAAACTCGACATGTATTTAGCAGTCAAATAAAACAATACTAAAATTATATAGGATTTATACAAACCTATTCGGTGGCGTGGGCATGTTGTCCAAGTTTTCAAAATCAGCACCGCAAGTTGGAAAACCGGTGAGGACCCAACCGTTATCTATGCAGTCCTATAACAACTATGTACCTAAGTACCCAGTAAATGCCAATAAGCTCTTCTAGGACGCATACTATCGATATTAGAAAAGAAGTAAAATTGTTTAACATCTATATTACTGATCTAAACCGAGGAAAGTTAGACAAGTTCATAATCATAGCTAACCTTTTTAGCTAAGCGTCGCCTCACAATATCAGCCCTCAATCGTGTGCTCAGTCCGAAATTACGCAACTTCTCACCAATCTCGTCGTCGCCTTCCTTAGCCTCGTTATGGAGATCATTAAAGTGCACTATGAGAGAGATGTAGTAGTTAGATATATGTCTTTGGTGTAAGTAGAATAGCAATTTGTTTATTGAAAAAAGGTAAGTAGGTATTTTGTATAATTTAGTTACAAACAGTGTACGAGTCCGAAGCGGTCAGCGAGTGCCTCGGCGTGCAGGCGGCGTCCGCAACCACGCGGGCCTATCAGCAGCACTCGGTAGTTGCCGGGCGCGCCTACCGTGGCCAGCGAGCGTGCACCGGAGTGCGCACCCGCCGCCGTAGCGCGGATGCCCCGCACGCATTTCATCTCTATACACTTTGCATCCTCACGAGGGTTCACGTATATCTCCTGTAGAGTATACAATTGTTCAAAGACTTTTTTAGCCTCCGTGGATGCCAAATTTTGTCCCACGATGGGTTTTTAGATCATAGAAACGCGATACGCATAACTGTCGCTAATAAACTTTTCTTGAAAGACATTCAATACGATTAATAATGGCATTTATAGGTCAATGTCAACCTTCAAGGTAGCCTTGTAGGCAAACTTGAGTGCCTCGAAGTCCTGGTCAAAGAAAGATCGCCTTGCGGTGTGGGGATGATCAGTGCGGGGGGCGTGCGGCGGTGGCGGGGTAAGAACCAGCGTCATAGTCGGCAGTACCCCCAGCTGCTGCAGGCAGCGCGCCTCGCGCAGCGTGCACGGATGGTCTTATACAGAACATATATTTTGTAATCTGATGTCATTAACTAAATTGAGAAAGTAATTCTTCAAAGTCATAAAAAATCCAGACTAGCATATACATAGTTAAGCATTTCGTTTTACCAAACATGAGCCAACCGCTTTGCGCAACCTGATTTGTCATCGTCAGAGATTTGGTAACTTCTGCCATCCTCACGGGTGAAATGCAACCAGGCACGTAGTTATCGCTCTGTGATCGTGAAGAAATCAACTTATTGACATATCGAAATCACTTCGTAATCGAAATTATATCGACAGCTACCTTTTCGTAGCGGTCCATCACGCAGCGCCGAGTGATGACGAAGAAGCCAAGATCTTTTATTAGATCTTTAGCGATAACGTTTATATCTGGAATTTCAGAGTAATTAAAAAAACCGTCACTTTCTTGCATCTGTGGAAAATGTGTAGATATTACAAGTTTAATTATAGCTATATTTTAACATTCGCTCCTACAATGGTAAAGTGATAAAAGAATTTTGGGGTTTACAGAAACAACAATGATATCTAAGGTCAAGGTCCACATACCAATGTCGAGTTCAGGCGAAACTAAAATAATGACACGGTCGGCGTCTTTCCCGCTGAGTATACGATGGTTGAGGAAAACTTTCATATGTTTCAAATGGTCTTGAGGCAAGTTAATCACCAGGTCTTGTACCATATCCTGTTTAGCATAAAGTTTACGGCAAATATTTCATTAGTCTCATATAAGCAACTTTATAAATTTTGGTTATTTCAAATTATCAGGCGCTTACTTTAAAAAGTTTGTAAATTCTATATTTCTCCAAGTACGGTACAAACTTGTCTGGTATCAGCAAAGGTAGTTTCGTTGCGTCGGTTTCGGTCATATTCACAATACATACCATTAATAAACGCTTGGGATAAATTCAAACAAAAAGTATTCAAATCAGATTTTATAAATTGAAGTTTTGACGGTTCTTCTTACTTTTTAAGTTTTAAATATAAAATACTTGTGAGTAACTATTTAGCTTTGATAATAAATGTAAGAATCTTCGAGGATGAAGATACTTTCTCTTTGTTTTTGATTTATGAGACCTTCCCATAAAGTTATAAAAACATTTGTTAGACGCAGAGGATGAATGTCTTTGAAAAAACAATGGTTTACCTGATGTTTTTGAACCGTTTTTAAACTTTCAAAAACAGCTGACTGTCAAACATGTTATGTTATGTTTTGGTTATTTTATTTTGTATGCAGATATAATACTAAAATTAAAAGCAACTATTACTAGATATATTCGGAGTACAGCTAGTATATTCGCGGGTTCAGAGGTCAAATCGAGTGATAATAGATAATGTTGCGTGTTTCATATAATATGAGGATAACATGATTTCGCTTGGACGCGTGAACACGCGCCAAGGTCATTTTTTGCTACAATTGCAAATAAGAACGATTTCTACGACATCATCTTAATCGACGGTGGTACGTCGATGACTTTTGTCGGCTTACGGCGTTATTTACTAGTGAGTAGAGTAATAGTTAGGATGTCTTCCAGTAAATTTTCTTACGAGGTTAGTTGTGTATTAATGTTTATTACAATTAAAACTTACAAGTTTTTCTATATCCAATTTTAAATTTATTTTATTTATTTATTTAATTAATTTTCAATCGAAGTTCTTCGTTAAAAAGTTACTTCCTGGTGTGAGATAATCATTTAAAAATTTAGTTGAAATCAAAGATTAGTACATTCTGAGTCTAATATAGTTTTGAAACAGATAATTTATGGGAAATTATTGTTTTCTCTGTTTAAGGAGGCTGTGAAAAAATTGAATTTACTTCAATCAAATAAATCAACTATAGAACAAATAAGGAAAGATATAAAATTAGGCCAAGTAAGTAAAAATTAATACATTTCCTTCAATACATAACTTTAAATGGACAGAAAGTTTATAGAATTTACATTACAAATGAAATTAATCAGTAATTATTACTTTTAAATGATTTATTTTAACTAAAACAATTTAATTTCAATATTTTCAGTGATATTTGTTATTTTTTCTTCCAGAAATGTACAAACATAGAGGATATGGAAAAGTATTTGCACAGAACTGGTGTTACTTTGTCAATGTTAGACCAGCTCTCAGTTATACATGTTGCTGGCACCAAAGGGAAGGTACATTATTCCTTTCTTTTTTTTGTTATATAGACACACAATAATCATGGGCTTTGCCAGTAGGAGGCAGTAGAGACTCTAAAATTGTAAAACATGTGTAAATTATGCCAAATAACTCAAAAACAACTTATATTTGCTTTGGTAAAAAAAGTTTCGACTAAGAGCCTCTCCCTTGATTTTTGGCATATGCCTTTTGGGGATACCCAATATAAATTAAAAAAAAAAATGTTAAATCAATTTCAAATATTTCTAGATTCCCTCCAATCCCACAGGCATTTTTTTTAAATACGAGTAGATTACTAATATTTCCTTTAACCACTTAAACTAAGCTCTAGGCTTGTGCTAGGATAGGGTTCATGACTAGTCAAATGACGGGATTCGAACAATCGACCACAAGATCGATAGTCCCTACCCCAAACCATTAGGCTATTGGCACTTCAGTTATTTCATTTTAATATGTAAACATTCTAGTGTCAATGAAGTTAGCATACTAATGCTTCCTGTTAATAAGCCTTGGCATTTTGTGTGTTAAATTTCCTATACAAATACATAATAGATTTATGCAATAATTATTTTATACATATAGGGTTCGACAAGTGCAATGTGCGAGTCAGTGCTGCGTTACCATGGATATAAGACTGGCTTCTACTCCTCACCGCACTTGGTGGCGGTGCGTGAACGCATTCGCCTTAACGGCTGTATAGTTGACAAGGAAACCTTCTCTAAACACTTCCATGATGTATATGACCGCTTGTATGCTTCACAGGTAATTTATCACATAGATATCCCATGAGAAACAAGAATTCAAATAAAGTACTAAATACACCAATTTAAGGAAAATGCCTACAATATTAATATAACTAAGTGACTCTTGCCGAACTGCTTAGTTCTATGGAGTTTTTTTTAGTTATGGTCTTGTTTAAAGCAGTTATATTTACTTTTTAAATTTACGATCTTTGGAGTTATGGTAGCATTTAAGTGGTTAACATCTGGATAAAGATTTCTGGTTTTAAATTCATTTTATTTTCGATCATCATAAGACTATATTCATATGTTAAGTATAGCTTGCTTTATAGCTCTATTACCTGATAAAATCTAGATTTGGTATTAATTTCGATAACACTACAGTTATTTACCAACTATTTTGCTTGTAGAGTTACGAAGGTGATATGCCCAAGTACTTTGCGTTCTTAACTGTGCTAGCATATAACGTGTTCCTGAAGGAGAAGGTGGATGTAGCCATTGTGGAGGTCGGCATTGGTGGTGTGGTGGATTATACAAATGTACTGAGGTAACTACATTCAATTGAAGTAATATTTACTGTTACACGGTAAAACCGCAATATATGAACATATGTGAGATGAATCTCAATGGATGGATGTTTGTTAGAGTTTGTAGCCTAAAATGCTGAAAGGATCTCAATGAAATTTGGCATATGGTTGAAATAGGTTGAAAAAATGGGCGAACGTAATAGGTTATATTTGTTATTTCACGCGGGCGAAGTCGCGAGCAACAGCTAGTAAATTCATAATTTAATTCAAGCAGTTTATGTTTCTATGCACTTTCGAAGGAAGGTACCGGTGGTTGGTATAACCGCTTTAGGTCTTGACCATACATCAATCTTGGGCACCACTCTACCAGAGATAGCTGAGGCAAAAGCTGGTATCATGAAGACAGGATGTGAGGCATACACTGTGCAACAACCAACAGACGCCATGGAAGTCTTAGAGAGAGTAGCCAATCATGTTCAGGTATAAATGTTATTTAGTTATCTATATTTATACTTCTATACTAATATTGTAAAGAGGGAAGATTTGCATTTTTGTACGTATTGAAATAAAAAAACTACTGGGTTATTTTCTAAAATTTATTCACCATTACAAAGCTATGTTACCGCTGAGTAACATAGACTATATTTTTAAATTTTACGTGGACGAAGTCAGGAATAACAGCTATTTTAAAAATAAAGTATTTAACTAAACTTTAAAGCTTCTTTTGACACATCATAAACAAATATGAGTTAAAAAAAACCTTTGTTTCAGTGTTCATTGCATGTAGTTCCAGATTATAAAACATACACATTTGAAAATGGCTTAAAACTACAACTTCCAGTAGAAATAGAAGCATATTGTTTGAACGCATCCTTAGCTATACAACTGGCACACGCTTGGATGCGTAAAAATAAAACGCACATATTAAATAATACAATAAATATATCAAATGGTATATGTGAAAAGGAATCCAAAGAGAATAGTGTAATTAGAAAATTACCAAATAAAACTATAAAAGGTTTATCAGGGTGTAAATGGCCGGGGAGATATCAAGTGATTGAAACAGAGTACTCAACTTTTTATCTAGATGGCGCTCATACTAAAGAATCTATGGAAATATGCGCACAGTGGTTTGAACACAATAGCCGGTAAGAACATTCTGTTTCTTTAATTACAGTTTATAGTATTATGTATTCACTTTATCTTCGTATAAAAAAAAAAAACTAAAAGTTTTTAAAAGCAGAGAATATTTTATTAATTAATAATATCACATTAAAAATAAATTAATAACATAATTTGTATTTCTGATAAAATACCTTAGTTTAGTCATTACTTATAAGTACATATTTTTTAGTCTAAACACCCAATAACAATATCTAGTCATCTCCGAAACAGATGGGCCGATTTCCTTGGGAATTTCACTGGAGGTTAGCTGACATGGATAGGAATATTATACGCTACTTTTATTTTTATACCGCGCTGTCAAAATGGCGTAACAGGTGATCCAAATTTGCGCCAATTAAGTTTGCTGGCGACAGCTCGTGTATAAATATGAAATACTACATGTATATTTAATGTATTTTATGTTATTATAAAAAACCATATCTATATCTCAATGACATATTATTCTATCGTAAGTTGAGTGTCATTTACATCTAATAGCCTATCAATATCTGTTAACCATGATATCAAACGGTCTAAGTATCCACCATCCTGTTTATAACTAAGCAACAATAATTGCATATGCTGGAATGCAGTTGGCTGCTCTAATAAGTAATTTAGTCTATGGTCTTTTACAGATAGCAACTTTATAAAAATTATAGCTATTAAATTCCATTGGATTGGCTTAAATGTTATGTTGTTAGCTTTTAATTTAAATGTATTAACAAGCAAGCGTATATCGGAACTAATGGATAACGCTGACAAGTTTAAAGAACGAAGAATATCAGGAAGAACTTTGTTTATATGCTGACATACTATTTTTCTTCGTAATGCATTTTGTGCATTCTTGTCAACCAGCGGTAATTGTGTTACTGAATTCTCTTCCTCTGTAGTATTAATTTGGGAAACTTCCGGAATGCTTTCAGTTAAAACCTCTAAGTCTCCAGAGAAGAAGGCTTTGACTTTTAATTGGATTTTCTTACTTTCTTCTTGTAATATTGAATAATCTGGCAAAGGTTTTGTTTCTCGTTGTAATGTCTTAGCATCGTATTTTCTGTCTTCGAGTTCAAGCATGTTTAATTTTCTACATAAAGCTTGATATTGATCATAGGTATTTGAAGTATAGAATATACTCTGTGCGTAATTGTTTAAATACTCTTTGATACATTCTCCTTTGTCTTCAATCATTTCTCTAACTTTCTCCTCTCCAAATATAAAGATCATTGTGTCCACAGTAAGCCATTCTGATAAACATTTTTCTACGTCAATTGTTAGGGTAATTACTGAAGGTTGCTTTCTTTGTTGCTTTTTAACTGATGCATTTTTAATTTCATTTGGTGGATTTACAACTATAGGATCCATTTTTCGTTCAGGCTTTTCAATTATTTCACCAACTATACTTAATGGATTTACTTTTTGTGATTCTGATTTTGGTCCTGTATCAAGTTTATCTCTGTTTTGTTTATCATTAATTTGATTGGAAATTGTCTTATCTTTGTTTTTCTCTCTGCCGATGTCTTGGGTTTCTTTTACTTTATCACTTACAGGAGCATTTGTGCTGTTTAGTTGGTTCTCCTTGTTGGTGGGTCTATCTGAATTATTGTCTTGATTATTACTGTCCATTTCATTCAGGCTAGCATGTGTAAAATCATTTATTGATATAAATGTGTTTTTTACTGGTTCCAATTTTACACGTTCGACTTGTCCAAGGTCTACTTCAAGTCCTAAACTCCCAACAGTGTCTAAAGGTAAAAGGTGAAATTTTGGCATTTCTTCATATTCTCTGAACCACAAAGGACTTGTCAGCATCTGCTTCTTGACATGCATAGCAGATTTGAAACAGCTGTTGCTGCAAAAGCTTTTACGAGCTGTTATATCGTACACTTTGTTCGTTTTTATAGATATTTTGTATTTCTGTTTAGGAATCTCCTTTTCAAGTAAAGGTCTTTGGCACAAGGGATATCCACAAAGCTGAATAATGCATCTTTCTTCTATTACATCTTCTAAGTGACATTGGTTTATTTCAGGTAAACATTGCAAGAAATATGTTGCGGTGATATCTTTTTCTAGTAAACTTTCAACAATTTTTTGAGCTTTAGCATTACACTCTCGTTTCTTTATTATTGCCTCCCTTATTTGCTCCTTTGTCATTTCTTCAATTTTAGTAGGTTTTTTCTTCAGTTTAGCTTTAATTTCGTCCATTATTTTAGCTATATATTTCACAACAAAATTCTAACCTCTATGTTTATGACTTTTTCATAATACGTCACAAACGTCAAATGGATTGCCAGATTGCCACTACAAAAAAACTCCTACATAGGAAAGGGTGTACCTACCTTTTCGTTTGCAAACATTTAGGTACTTTTATGAAAATTATTCAGATGCACATTTGTGTAAAATTGTAATTATTTATTATTTATTGTTACAGATGTCAAGACAAAAGTCTAATTTTTAGTGCAACTGGAGATAGAGATGCGGAGGTTTTGCTAACACCTTTGAAGTTTGTAAATTTTAAGAAAGTATATTTTGTGATACCGACAGCATTTAAGGAAATAAGTGATAAAAACGACAATTATTCTATAATGGAATATAGAGATTTAATTGCAAGATGTCAGAAAAATGAAGAAGCATGGAACAGGCTCCAAGAAAATGGCAAACGCAGTAAAGTAACGATCTTAGAATGCGTTTCAGACGCTCTGTCATGTATAAAACAAAATAATGAGAGCAAATCCGTTTTAATCACTGGATCTTTACATTTAGTTGGGGCTGCACTTTCTATAATTGATCCTAATTTAGGGGAGAATTAGGAAATCGAATTAAATAAAATTTTATTTATATCCTGATGTTTTGGTTTATTTTATTGTGTTCTAAACCTTTAGTCAAATTATAAGCTTATAGTATACAAGGACAAATGTAAGGCTTCTATACTATTTTTCGACAATAAACTTATTTCGGTCCCAATTTCATTAAGATTCTTACAACCGCTAGCAAGGGGAATCCATTTGCCAAGTCTCCAGTCGTCGGCAAAAAGTAAGATAAAAATGAAAGCCAGCTGACAACACCAATTTAATTTGTCAAACTGTCATATGTTTTAGGGAGATTTCAATTTAGTTCTGTCAAGGCTGTCAATTGGATTTGTCAGTTCTTCACCCTAATACTGAGTTGTTTTAATTTTTTTGATTTCTTTTCTCAATAAAGAAATTTAGTGCGTATACAAATAACTTAAATCTGTACATTGTAATTAAACTGTCTGTTACATTTGTTATAGTGTTGGGGAATTAATATGACTTTAGTGTGTCTGCGATTTTTACTTTTTATCGAATATTATCAGTAGGGCATAGTATTTGAGGTTTATTTACTATATTTATTTCTTGATAACGATGCTTCCATCGAATTCCAATATATCTAGTGACTAGTAGGCATTTTTGTATAAAAATGATTTAAATAGTGTTAACAGGTAAGTCAAATTGTTTTTTTTTTAATTATATTATTTCGTCATTATTATATTATATAATAACAAGATATTCATTTTGCAAAATAATAATTTAGTTCATCAGTAACCTAAAACAAATGTTTGTTAATCTTTATATTGTAATTTAATATTATCTGTTTCTTTTTTCAAATTAACCTCTTACTGTTTTTTTTTCTAGTATTTATAGAATCTTATTCTTATGTTAAGAAGATAAATATATTGCCTTATTTCTGGCTGGACATAGTTCAATTGTACTGCCACTTGAAGTAAAAGAAAATTCATCTTTAAGCCTTGAATGTGTTGAACCAGAAAATATTTATTATTAAGAACAAATGTTTTCTAGAATCTTAAATGTAAACTTAACTAAATGATAAAAAAAAAATCAATTTTCATCCGAAAATATTTTTGAGGTTAAGGAAAATTATTTCAGACCCACACTCGTCAACACAATGCAATAAGATGCAAAATTTCTAATCAACTGGCTCTTATTAAATTATTGTACTCTTATATAGAAGGCTTGCTATGCAATATTGACTTGTGTGGTATCATCAAAAATGTATGAACTGCTATTAATTTTGCACCAGATATTGCAAACAAGACAATTTTAAGCATTGATAGGACAAAGAGTTACTTTGAAGGGACCATCCTGAGAGCACTTTACTCCAACCTCCAACGAGTCCAAACACATTTTCGAATTGAATTTTTTTTGTCAATCGACCTAGAGCCGTATGCCGCGCAATACGCCTCCTAAGCATCCCTTTACGCCCCTTACACTTAAAACAGAGTTCTGTGCAGCGACTTAACGTTCCGAACCGCCAAGCACCAAAAATACAATACCCGCACTACTTCCCAGATAACTTCGAGCTACCGTAAAGTTTGAATCTTGTAATACCATTATCCAACAATAATGCGCAGTAAACGCTTGGCCAGTACAGTTGGTCAGTTGCGAAGTTAGAGATTGTATAAACTCACTGGCGTCAGTTAGCGTTCACTGTATTGGCCGAGTGTGAACCGCGCCTAAAGCATGTGTTACTTTGTATTTTGTTTGCAATGCGACTACGTAGTTTGCATGTCCGATTCGCAAATTATAGCGACGATGCAGAAAGGAAGGTCGGTCAATGACTTATAGCCTATCTCCGTCCCTCGCTTTCGCGTCTTTACTGGGTATAAATAATTGGATATCGTCCTACTCTGGGGACGGTTTTGCTAATCATAAAAACACCGCATAATTACGCCGTCTTGATCGATTTTCTGACTTATGGAACATAAGGAATGGACGACTTTCTTAATTATGGAAAGGAAATATTAGGAATAACATGCAGAATCATAAAACTATTTCAATTGTGATGTGGTTCGACTTATCTTTGCTTCGGGTATCGGATAGTTATCAGGGGAAATGTTATTAGACAGCTCAGGTAACACTATGATGTATACATTTTTTTATACCATACTAGCTAGCTAGCTGTTGCTCGCGATTTCGTCTGTGTAAAATTAAAAAAAATATATATAGCCTATGTTACTTACAGATAAATTGCCTTTCTAACGGTGAAAGAATTTTTAAAATTGGCCCAGTAGTTTTTGAGTTATTTTAATACATACAAAAATACAAATCTTTCCACTTTATTATATCAGTATAGATATAGATTGCCATACAACGACGTAATAAAGTTTAGAGTATTAGAAAAACGCGTTTGAATAAGTTATGATTCTACTAGCTTTCGCCCGCGACTCCGTCCGCGCGGCTTTAAAAAAACAAAAGCAAGTAGTTAAAAAAACAAAAGCAAGTAGCCTATGTGTTCTTCCAGACTAATCTCTACATCTATGCCAAATTTCATCGAGATTCTTTTAGCCGTTTAGACTACAAACTCTAATAAACATCCATCCATCTAAACTTACGCATTTATAATATTAGTAAGATTAGTATAGATAGACGAGATAATTTGTTTATTTTTAATAGTCATTCAAATGTGCAGAGCAGTGAGTCAAATCTTTGAATACGTTACACATATTATTGTAAACACGCGAGGAACAATAGTTCAGTTGTTATTTGTTTGAAATAGATTGTGCGATGTAATTGAATCACTACTCGTGTCTTATCAGGCGGAGAGTTACAACGCGCAAGAACGATGCTCTGTTTTGATTGCGTGTGTATTCTCTGCAAATATATTATTATAAACTACGGGCACGTTTACTAAACCAACCGTAAAACAATCTATAGACCCGAGAGAATATAGAATTATTTTTTTAATTCGAGGCGTTCAATATGAACCTATATCGATTTATGACATGAGCCAGTGTACAGTTGTGTTTTTTTTTATAATATAAGGTGGCAAACGAGCAAGCGACCACATAAATCCACCAAAATGGCGAAGCGACTGCTGCCCATAGACATCTACAATTGCAGATGCGTTGCCTACACTTAATCGACGGAGGAGGAGACGCACATAAAGAGAATATTTCCCCTTCTTATGCGCCCTCTCCGCTTTTATATTCACTTGCCCTTCCCATCCTTTCTCATAAGAAAAAGGGTTTTAAGGAAAAGGGATCAAAGTGTATAAGTGGAAAAATTTTGTCTGTTAAAACTTGTAATTTCTACAATCCCTGCAAGATAAGACACGTTTGTTTGCTTTAATTGTTCATTGTTTATTACTAATTGTGTTTTGGTTAAGAAAGAAAATACAAGTTAACCGAATTACATGACATCGATTTTAGAATTTAATGTCTTTTTTCTAAAAAAACTTTCACTTTTTTTTAAACTCGTAACAAGTTAACATTTATTATCAAAACCTGTTCAGAATAAATATGACTATTACGACATAGACTATACATATATGTCGTCCGAAATACATTCGTTTGTGTGTACCACTTTAGTTCTGTAAAAACTGATATCAATGCTCCAGCTCCACACCCTAAATGCGCTATCACCAAACAAATATGGTATTGACAACACACCTACAAAAATTAAAAAGGCAATCATACTTCATACTAGTATTATAAATGCGAAAGTTTAGATAGATAGATGGATGTTAGAGTTTGTAGCCTAAACGGATGAACGGATTGTGATGAAACTTGGTATGGATATAGAGGACAGTCTGGAAGAACACATAAGCTACGTACTTTTGTTTTTTTTTAAATTCCACGCGGACAGAGTCGCAGGTGATAGCTAGTTTAATTATAAATTCTATGATCCTGTAAAAATGCTTCATGTATACAATTTTTCGTTGAGTATATTTGTAATATTTTTTCAACATTTTGACCTGTAAAACACTTTTACTAAAAAAAATATTTGTATTTGAATATATGTGCAGGATATCTGATGATCACAGTGTCATGATGCACATGTGGATGTGGTTCGGCTACGACCTGGGCGAGTTCCTCTTCCCCGGACTCGAAGTCAGCTCGCGCTGGGCCTTCGCCCTCACCTGGATAGTGCTGTTCTTCGTCGCCTTCCTCTTTGAAGGCTCCAAGGTAGGGATAGATATAAACGCTCTACAATGATAAAGAAGAATTAGAAAAAATGTCAAGTTTATGTCCTAAATCCTGATTAGGCACCAAAGTTGTCAAATAGCAGTAACTGTATAGTTTCAAAAGTGAAATTACAACAATATTCAGCGAAATTTAATAGAAATAAATCGTTTTCCAATCGGAATCTGCGAGCAAATCATTAGAAAATTGTGTCACTTTTTACATCGCGATGTAAAAAGTATGCGATGCATCGCTAGGTGCAAACGACCAATCAAAAATGTTAGTTTTCTAATCATTTTATTAAAGCAATCAAGCGTACAAATGCTGCTTATAGGCTGATGGTAAAAAGTACTAGAAAGTAATCACATTTAGTACAGGAATCAGTAGGGTAGGGCTCGGTTAGGCGGCCACCTAGGGCGCTTCGACATTGGCGCTACAGCCCAAGTACTCTCACATATATTACTCTTAACCCTCCCCCCAATTATGCTGAAAAATAAGGGCGTAGAAATATCGCCAAGGCCGCTATTGAAGCTAAAACCGCTACTGACACCAATAAATCTTTGCTATGTTTTGTATACAGGTGTACCTTGCGAAGGTGCAACGTGAGGGTCATAAGAAGCTGTACCCTTACAGGTCAGATGAGAGGAGGAACCTATTATGTGATCGGTAAGTAATCAATCACTGTCACTGATAGATTCCCAATGCCGAACTGAACGTTTTCGTATCACCAACGACAAACTATGTATAAGAAATTTCGCCGTACATGGTGTTAAGTACGCCAACAAATCTCATACAAATTTTATCAATGACGTTACGAAAACGTTCTCGTAATGTCACGCTATTTGTGATAGACCCTGTTACGGTATTTGTCGACTTATATCCGACTTAGAAACCTTAGAAGACCTAAAAATGATAACTGTTTAAGCCTCATCACTTGAATTAGAACAAGTGGCCATTGTGTCAGTTTTTTCCCACACAATGTGCCATACAAAAGGACGGCCGTTGTCACTTGACTTTCATTGTTTACTTAGGTGAAATTAGATTGTGTATTTCTATCAATATTAATAAAGAGAATTAAACAACGGCTAATTTATACCGGATATTATTACAAAGGTTTACATTATACTAAGTGGAAATAGCATAACGACCAAATTGAGAAATAACGAAATTATTCATTAAAAAAAAAACTCGTTGAATTGCTTTATTGCAGTGTTTCTCAAAGTGGGAGATAGCGCCCCTCTTGGAGGGGGGGG